TGCCAAGTCTCAGAATTCATATTGATGTAAAATGGATTTGGGCTTCTGTAACACAGAGGTTAGTGATGTCTTTTTAACGCAGGCCAAACACAGAACATTGACAAGCACAGCTGTACACAGTTACACGTCACTTAATGACCGGGATACATTCTGAGAAATGCATTGTTAGGCATTGTGCGAACATCATGGAGTGTGCTCACACAAACTGAGATGGTATAGCCTACTACACACCTAGGCTATATGGTACTAATCTTATGGGACCACCATCGTATATGCGGTCCGTCGTTGACCGAACATTGTTATGCAGCATGACTGTGTTTCACTAAGGGCTCTTTGAAAATTTGCAATTATAGAGTTTACAAAGTGCTTCTCCAGTTTTGTTCTCCCAATAACCATGTGAAGTCAATAATATATGCCCACTTTACAGATGGGGAATGTCAAGTTCAGGAAAGCTAAGAAATTTTCCTGAGATCATTTGACTAGCAAGAGTCAGAGGAACTTGAATCTAAGGCCCAAACTCTACCACACATGATTGTGATATTTTCCTTGACTCAAAAAGAATTATAAACTATTTTTGTATAGATTTTCTCTGTAGTATTTTTATTGTATTCTACCTAGCTATGCAAAATCCACCAATGATTTTGGAGACTAAGCAAAATTTGGGTCCAATTCTGTAGGTGATTATGATTAGATTAGGAAAACTCACTTTCACTTGTGTATTATTTTTCTTATTAGTTTTCAATAGTCATTTAATACAAGCTATTTAGCTTTCATCAATTCTGTTTCTCTTGTAAGTTTGTAATTGAAATTTACTGACATTATTTTTCATGCTCATAGTTTCTTCCTGCTGCCTCTGATTTTTAATGTAAGCAGCTAAGAGAACACAGGTATAGCAAAACTCCATGGGTTTCCTACAGATCCAGATTCTCACGAGAATCCAGGGAAAAGGGAATAAAAGAAGCAACACAATTTCTGAATTTTCCGTTCCTCGTGGCTCAATTCTCATTTGTCATGTCTGGAACTCATTTTCTCTTAGGGTTCATGGCCTGATGCTTGTTTCTGATGCTAGTCTAATCCACACTTTAAATAAACTATTTAAGTTCTCTTCTTGGTAAATGTCAGGGGAAGAGATGATATTTCCTGCACCTACAGCATCCTGAAAACCCTTGCCAAATCTACAAATCGGACTCTGCATTATCCTTCCCCAGAAGGAGAGCATAATTTCATTATCCATGAATCATCACCTCTTAGACTATAACATCATTGTCAGAGAGCCTAACAGAACCAGTGTTCAGCTGGCTGAAAAGGGGGAGGGAAGGAGAGAGCACTGGGGCAAAGCACAGGTCACTGGCACGATCAACAAACTGGAGAGTTCTAGAGCCGGAAGGGGAGGCCTCCTTCTCTTCATACATTCCTTCAGACATTCCTACTGGCTGGTAAATAACTAGTTCTGATTCTTTTAATATTAATATTGAAATTTGTTTTCCCCAACTAAAATTACATAATATTTCAATATCCTACCTATGGAAAATATTAACCCGTTTAATGAAAATATCAGAATATTTGGCAAGCATCGATGAGCACAAATACTTTAAAATGTTTCTTATCTATTCTTATTACATTATTACTTGCTTCTCATCGATGGATACTTATTTCTAGCCCTCATTACCAGTTCCATGGCCTCTGGGCATTACTAAATAAGTCAATATACAAAATATAACTTTAAAAATTACACCATAACTGTATTTCCCAGGGAAATGAACTAAATAAAATTCAAACCTGATTTACAGATCAAAAACTATATGTTATAAACCACGTTTACATAAGGAGTCAGTATAAAAAACTACATAAAAGGTGTATGAATAGCTGTGGTTAGTCTGATCAGCCACTGGAGGTCACTGCTGCTCCACAGAAATACAATTTATTGCCTGTTTGTCTACTTAGGTAGTTGAATCACCAAATCAAGTAAAAAATGGTTTAAATTCTTTGAAAAGATGTAATGTCAACATCCTTGGAAAATATAAACTCATTTAAAAGGAATACATCTTGCGTAAGATTCCTTAGAAGACTGTCGCGCTGGGACTAGTAACTCCACGCTGCGGTAGCACTGTGCGGACCGGGGCTCATAAAACGGGGAAAAAACCCATGCAGTTCAGAGACTCAACTGCGTTTCCTCTCTCTCTGGTAAACACTCAAAGTACTGACTGAATCCATTCTGCCTCGATGCGTCTCTCTTGTATAGTTCAACGGGTCAGGCTGTTTATTTAACTTGTCTTCTTTGAGGAAAGTCAGAAACTTCATGTAAATTTGGAATAGAAAATGGAATATAAATTATATTTCTCTAATATGCAATGAGTTGAAATACTAATAAAAATAGATTAGTAGTCCAGAAAGTGCCATGGGGTGGGGGTGGGGACAACAACTTTGGGCAGGAGAACACTGGCCAGTTGGCTTTGTTAAATTCATAGGGGTGAACTATCTATTGTCTAACCGACAAGAACTATATATTTGAGCTCAGAACATGCTGGGAACTAGAGAAGCTTCATTCCCAAAGAAGGGGAAAAGATCTTTTCTTTTTTCTAATTTCATGTCCTGAATAGAAATAACTTTTACAATCTAAAGGATTTCATTTTGGTTTTTATCTACTATTAAACTTATTAGTAAAGTTTAGCATTAAAAAATGACTAGCCTTCAAAATGTTGGTCATTCATTTAATCTTACACACCAAGTGGCTTTGAATGATAGAAATACTTTTAATACAGCAAACATAGTTTATATATACTAGCAGTACCACAGCATTGAGAATTTGCAAGAATTCAAAAGTAAAAGTATAAATATGGCTTGCCTAAATTTATTTGGTATCCATGACAAATGAGGCAGAAGGTCAAGTCAAAGAATAGAAATGGGCTTTTTCACTTTAACACTGTATTTAATTAACACAGTCATCTTTAGTACAGATAAAAATGAGGCTGACCAAAGAAAATTTCTTTTATAGATGGAATATATATTTACTGACATTTTATGAAGAATGTAAAATGACAACTTCAGTGAAAAACATCACAGTAGACTCAGTCATCCAGTTCATAGTACTGTAAGGAAGTATCTGCATTATTAATCAATTTGGATTCTGTGAATATTTGCCATTAATAAATATATATTCAACAATGATTCATGGGTAAATATATTGCAGCTATGATGCTTTTCTGAACTGGCATCTATTTTAAGATTTAATCAAAATCAAGGTAGCTTGAGAAATCCACTTTAAATGCTCCTTTTCCTTTATTGCTTATAAAAGTATGATTTTTATAATCTGGCTTCCTTGCAATTATATTTCATGGTGACTTGCCTAGATTTTTTCCTCTCAGCATATGAAAAGCCTCCAAACTATAAAAAATGCTGGTAAAAATAGCCATTCACTTTTTCTTTTTTGCTGCAGCGATTCTGTTTTGAAAGAACAGGGACATGGTTAAAGACGTGGAGCTTGGCAAGCCAAATTAAATGAAACAGACTGGATGTTACAAGTCCTGATTTTTGCTCCTATAATAGAACTGTTCATTTTGGGGGATGAAAGAGGATACAGACTAAAGACATTTTTCTAAAATCTTAATGGACTGTGGTCAAAGTTACTTAAGTACAGAAGCTGTGATATCTGTGCTGCAGTCAATAAACTTTCACTAACGACATAAAAACATGCATGCAGCTTGCAGATTGCCAACAGGGTCTGTACAGAATCATACCAATGGATGAGTTCACACTACAGGTGAACATACGGACACTGTAACATCAGCAATAGAAAAGCAAAAGACAACTGCCATAGGATTGGTCTTTTTTCCTCTAAGATTTATTGTATACATTTATTAAGGTGCTATCAAAATCATCCTTTTCAGTGAGGCTGTTGGTGGACAATCTGTCTTGGAATGTGTTCTCTTTACCCCTCTGATTGAAGTGTCAGTCATCAGGTGACTAGTGTATGCTGGGCATTTAATGGAACAAACCAGGGCTGCCTGACAAATCCCAAACCGAAGAGCAGACAGGGCTAATGATTCCACTCACTACATTAGGGTCCTTGAAAAGCTGGAAAGAGAAATTCTGGTAAGCTCCCAACCACACACATTTAGCAAGCTGCCTTTGCATTTGCAAGCCTCCTCTCTGAAAATTCCCTAAGGTAAGGAGCAGTGGGAAAACTGCCTCCTCGAATTTGCCTCTTGCCTATTTTATTTATTTATTTAGGAGATATAGAGGCTGGAAGAAATCGACAGTGAAACCTCTAGTGTGATTTGACAGGGATGGGTTTCAGAGACAAGGCTTCAAGTCTAAAACTTCGTATTTTTCCCATCTCCTCACATTTTGCAGTTGTCTACTTGCAGCATTTTAACCCGTCAACCCTTTTCCCTCGGCTCGCCTTGTTGCAATGCAAACACCTCCGGAAACTGCTCCCGGCGCTGCTTTAACAGAGCACCATCTTTTGAGAGTTCCCTACAATTTTCTTTTTAAGCCAGGCATTGTTTTAAGGCTCTGTGTCTAAATGTTCCTGTAATCAAGTCACCTCCTAGAATCAGTTCAGCTCCAAGTACCTGGGATCATTCACTTTTGCTTGATTTGCCAATAAACTGTACACCTTCTAGAACTGTATGTAGATTTGGTCCTACCAGAAGAATAACGGCAGATGTTGGGGATAACTTGTGAAAGAAGTTTTATCTTAAAACAAGTGGGACATTAATGGAATCAATAAAGGGTCTTATACAATAGGCATTGTATTAAACCAGAGTTCTAGCTTCACGTTGATTGTGGTATTTAAATTTCAATGAGTTGACTATGTATGAGAGGAAAATGACCAGTATTATGAATGTACTAAAACAGACAGGGAAGGACCTTGCCAGCAATGTGAGAGGCAGGGGGAAGGGGAGGGGGCACCACGTTCCCTTTATAGTCGCCAGAGTTCAATAAAGCACCACTTATTTCCCAGCTTTAAAGAGCGCTTTTATCACAATGGTTCATACCTCACACTCCCTGGAGCCTGATTTGCTATAGGCGCAGGGTCCCGTCCCATTCAGCAGCATCTCGCTGGTCTCCGTGTTGGTGGGTTTATAATCTACATAAAATTCCTGGGTGCTGGGAGTCATTTGCTTTAGGGACTGTCTTTTCTTTTTCCTGTGCCTTCGCATGAGGGAGCGCTGCTGCAGCTGCTTCATGCTCGCAGGGTACCGCTTCCATGACACGTAGATAACGAGCAGGATGACGAGCACGGACAGAAAAAGGGCCACGCTCCCTGCGATGATTTTATGGAAAGAGATGTGCTCGGTGTCAGCATCGGTCTCTGGGCTGGGCTCCGTGGCTCCCACCGTGGGGGGCAGAGGGGGCTTGCTCTCATGCTTCGGCCTGGGGAGCTTGGGCTTAAACGTGGGCTTTGGGAGAGCCCTGGCCAGATCAAACCTCTCCGTGGTACTTTTGCCACAGATGCTGTAGTTCCTCACTGCGTCGATCACGTTGACTCCCTGCAGCTCTTTGGGACTGGCACAGATAATTGTATTCTCCCTCAGGCCTTTAAAACTTTTCAGCCAGTTTACCAGGGAACAAATATTTCTGCTGCATTCCCATATATTCCCGGCAAGACTGATGTCATTGAGGGATATCCAAGAATCCAAAATCTCTTGACCAATAAATGTGAGCTTGTTGGAATCCAGGTTGAGGCGCTGCAGATTCGGGACACACTGGAAAACACTAGGTCCGCTAAAAGCTTCGATCTCATTTCCGGATAAATCAAGCCTTTGTAATGAGCTCCAGGTCCAGGACATGGTCTGTCCTATGACACTGATTTTATTCCACTGCAAGTAGAGGTTCTGAAGGCTCACCAGCCTTGGAAAAAGGGCCAGGTTGAGCTTAGAAAATTGATTGTGCTCCAGGTGAAGTTCTTTGAGTCTGATCATGCCAGCAAAGACATTCCTGGCTAAACTTCGGATCCGGTTATACCCCAGGTCCAAAAGTTCCAGGTTGCGGCAGTCTTGGAATATTCGCACAGGGATGGTTCTCAGCGAGTTAGACCGTAAATGTAAACTCAGCAGCTTCCGCAAGCCCCGAAACTGTTCAGATCCCAGAGAATGCAGCTGATTATAGGACAGATCCAAGTTCCGTAAATTTGTCACAGGTCTGAAGGTATTGTTGAGAAAATAGGAGATTCTGTTGGAACTCAGAATCAACTCTTTGAGTCTGCGTATTCCATTAAAAGCATTCTCATCAATATTGCTGATATGGTTATGGTCAAGGTAGAGCCAGGTGAGCTGGTTGAGCCCTTTAAATTGATTATACTTAAGTTTTTGAAGGCTGTTATAGCGAAGGGACAAACCTAAGCAACCAGCAGATATACTTGACGGTATCTCCTGTAATTTCTGAGATTCACAATATACCATTTTGCCTTCACACCTACAGCCCTTAGGGCATCCTCGTTCGGCAGAAGAAAGCATTGTCAGTAAGACAGTGGGGGCTATAACCAGTGCTACAGCTGATCCGCTCAGTAGCCTAATTACATTGAAACCTGGAAATAAAAACAACTCAGAAAAGTTATCCCCCCAAAAAAGAATTCATTTATTTTTAATCAAGCAAAAAGAGGCATGTATTTTCTTTTTAAAAAATTTAAATCTAGATAACAACATTTAACATCAAATATCATCTCTTTGTAATTTAGAGAGAATTGTCTTTAGGGTTTCTTTTTTTTTTTAATAGTTAAGCAAGGAAACATGTTCACTAAGCAATTGAATTTATAGCCTTAGAGCAGAGCAAGGTAATCTCTAAAATAATTAAGGCAGAATTAATACAGACTAGAGGTTTTTTTGTTTTTGTTTTTGTTTTTTTTAAAAAAAGGAAAGAAGAAAAATGACAAAACATACCCATCCTTTGTATTGTTCAAAGGTCGTCCTTAGGTCTTTTGCTTTGGCTTAGGGGCCACTTGCATGACAGCCCGTCAGCTGCACTGTACTGAGTCAGGGCTCGCTGACACCCAGGAAGAAAAATTGGACCCCTTGGGAGATGGACCGATTTTGGAACATTATTCTTTGCCAGCCACGCAGAACACTCCAAGAACAAATAAATCCCAACACCGCAATCGCAGCAAAACATCAAAATCTTCCTAGGTAATAGGATCTTCATGGATATTACGTTTTTGCATCTTTACAGGTTTTTTGGGGGGGGGTGTTAGGAAAAAAAAAAAAAAAACTGGCTTCTACAATTTCTTCTTATCGGAAAGCATGATGTATTCCTCCAGGCAATGTGAGGCTACCTGAGCTGCCACATCTGTATTCCATAGCACAGCATTGCTGGTGGTGAGCACCCAGCTCAGCCACAGAGCTGCGTTGGAGCCCAGCAGGCAGGAGAGCCTCGTACCGCGCACACGCTCAGCTCACTTCTGCAGACTGTCATTCTGAAAGCTGCTCGGACTGTTGCTTTGGTTTCAGTGAATGCAGTCTTATGTAAAGCTGCCCCCAGTGGTGAAGAACATTATGGGCATGTGCAGAAATGTCTCTCTTTTATCTTGCAAATGAGCAGGCTCTCTGCTGGAAAATGAATGATTCTTTTGGGTGACTCAATAGGAACTGAATGGTCACCGTAATCAATAACTAGCAACATTTTCTGTTATTTCCAAGTCTTGTTTTACAATTTGGCAACGTCTTTATTGTCTGCGTCCACTTAATCGCTAAACATTGCTGCCCAGAGTTTTTCTTGAGCTTGACATTAAGTTCACAGACCGAATGTCAATTTTTCTGAACCTCAATGTAGGCTTTGAACTGAAATTTATAAAATGAATTATTGAGCTTTTCACAGAGAAGCATTAACTGCCTGCCCATTTGACCTCGTAGAGTCACAGTGATTAAATTATGCAAGGTGTCTCAGGATGCTAGAACACATACATTTTGGAATAGAGGGGATGGTTAATGACATATAAATTAATGTGTCCGATAGCCTTTCTGGTTTTCCCACAAAAGACATAATTGGTTTAATGGCTCATGGCTTGGTTTATTGTTGTTTTGGTTGCTGTCATTTTTTTTAATTAGAAGAGAAATAAACCATATTTAGTGTGTGTAGAAGAATCAAGAGATCATTTGGTTCAGTTTATTGATGCTGCTGCTATTTATTACACTAATAATATTTATTGAGCACTTTCTAAGTGCTCTAAATAGGCTATCGTGTTTCATCTTTAAACGATATTATGTTGTAGGTCCCATTATAACCTTCATTTTAAAGATGAGGAAACTGAGACTTGGAGAAGTAAGTTGCAGAAGGTCATATAGCAAGCAAGTGGCAGAACTGAGATTCAAAACCACGTCTCTCTTATGCTTGAACCTCTAACCCCTAAATGATCCTGTTTCAACAACATTGGTATCTCCATTTTACAATGAGTCAAATGAAAATTAGCCTGATTCAAGCATTGGGACAGGTTAGCTGTCATAAAAAATTCTTGCTTCCTAGAATAGGTTTGTATGAACTTCTTCGGTATGAGTCTTCTCAAGAAGTGCTATCAAAACGAAGGAAGGGCAGTTCAGTCTAGTGATTAAGAGCGTGGATTTTTGCACCTATGTTCAAATCCTGGCTACAATTTACCAAGCATGTAACCTTGAGTGGGTTATTTATCTTTTCTATTTCTCAGTTTTCTCTTCTACAAGATGCACATGACAACAAAAACTCATTTCATAGAAGGTTTTAGAATTATGTCGTCTTCGTATCTGTAAAGTACTTAAAACAGCGTGTGGCACATAGTAGGCCTGTGCTGGCAGCTATTTGAATAATATCACTTTATTGTATTTGCTGGTATTCTATTTTGTGTAGTAATGAATATTGACTATACTGACTGTCATTAACTCACAAAGAACTGCTTCAATGAACATTTTTTATACTGTTCACAATAGATTTCTGAGATTCACTCAGTGTTGCCATCTTTGATGAGAAAATTTCCTAAAGCTCCATCATCTCAACTTTATCTTTAAAATGAATCTTTTGGTTCTATAGATCATAACTAGTGATTAATGTCTGATTTTTTTTCTTCCCAAAGCAGAATATGATAACATCTGCCCCATAGAGAAAACCATTTTGTTTAAAAATAAATGAATAGTGCTTTAAAAAGTTTGTCTTGTGCTTAGTCTTTGTTAGGTGAATTAGCTGTGGAAAACCCTGGGCAGCTTTCATATTCTCTAAGGATGAGAAGTTTGGTGACAATTAGTCATGGCAATGAAAAGGGGCCCTACAGACATAGTCCAATGAAAATTACCAATCCCTCAGATAGGGAGCTATTAATAGGGCAGTGGTGCCCCCGAATTACACGTGCCATAAATCCATATAAAGGCCCCAGAGAGCTTGTTAAAAAGATAAGTTTCGGGGCTGGCCCCGTGGCCGAGTGGTTAAGTTCGCGTGCTCCGCTGCAGGCGGCCCAGTGTTTCGTTGGTTCGAATCCTGGGAGCGGACATGGCACTGCTCATCAAACCACGCTAAGGCAGCGTCCCACATGCCACAACTAGAAGGACCCACAACGAATAATATACAAATATGTACTGGGGGACTTTGGAGAGAAAAAGGAAAAAAATAAAATCTTTAAAAAAAAAAAAAAAGATAAGTTTCCCAATCTCTTTGCCAATATTCTGATTCAAGGGGATGGAAGAGGCTGAACTTATCAACAGACTCTGGTGGACAATTAGGTTTAAGAAATATACCGTAAGGGAAGGATTTAAAAGAATGAATTTTCTCCTAGTAGGAAGAGAGGGTATACAAACCTATGACATTGTGATGTAAGTTCCATGAGGTCAAAGACAATATTTTCTCTACTTAAGTTTCCATAATAACTAGAATAGCACTCGGCGCCTTCTAAATGCTCAATAAATGTTTATTGAATAAACACATTTTTATAGGGGTCTCAAGTCCATTCGATGTAGGATAAACCAGTTATGTAATGCTAGTCCTGTGTACATGGGATTGATCCCTACAGAATTCCACTGAGACTGGACACAATTTTGGAGAAAGTATTCTTTTTTTTTAAAGATTGGTCCTGAGCTAACATCTGTTGCCAATCTTCCTCTGTTGTTTTTTTTTTTCCTTCTCCCCAAAGCCCCACAGGACATAGTTGTATATCCTCGTTGTAGGTCCTTTTAGTTCTGCTATGTAGAGTGCTGCCTCAGCATGGCTTGGTGAGCAGTGCTGGGTCCGTGCCCAGGATCTGAACCAGTGAAACTCTGGGCCACTGAAGCGGAGAGCATGAACTTAACCACTGGGCCACTGGGCCAGCCCCAAGAAAGTGTTCTTAAAGAATGTGTGTGAAAAGGCAAGAAACTGGAAAGTGGAAACACTTAGATGGTCAGCAAGTGATCCTCACTTTTCATGTAGACGTCTCTTGTCTTCATAGTTAAACCATAAATTTCATGAGAACAGCATATATACTTTTGAATATTCCTTTCGGCACATTACAACTTTTGTCATCTTACATCCCAAATGGGGCTTGACAACTTATATCTATTAAATAAAAGACTAAAGGGAATCATATTTATAACTCATCTCTCATGTATCTGTTGCTTGAAAGCCTCTGATTTTTCTCCTCCCTTTCCCTGCTTCTCTGTGGGAAGCAGCCATTGAGGTGTCTGTTTTGCCTAACAGCTTCAGAGGGCCACTCTAGGATGGCTGGAGGCCCCATCAGCTTTGTGCTTCTTATTTTTCCCTCATTCACTGGTGACAGAAGAACAGATGAGTCCACTGAGAATGCAATTCTCTCACTTTGCTTTTCCTGGGAGAAATCTTCTTGGATTATTCACAGTGAATAGTATTCTCTGCTATGTTACGTATCTTGCCCTTAGTTTTCGGACATTTTTCTGGTACCGTGACTTCTGATCTTGCTTTGCTCCACGGTTCTGACTTCACATACACCCTGTGGATCTCATAATTGATATTTCCTCTTAATTCTGATCATTGGTCTCTTGCTCAACAGTAATCAGTCACCATTTGTGGATTGGATCTTGCTCCAGGCACTTTGTGTGGCCCCTACCTTGGCACTAGCCCTAAAGCCACCATTATAACCAGGTCTGTCCTGGTTCAAGGTAATGAAATACCTGAAGGGAAAAGACCATCCATGAAGCCAGTAGAGAAATCCCAAAATAAAATAATGCAACCCTAAGACGGACTGATACTTGAGGCTACAGAAATTAATCCGAAGACATAGAGTAGTCCCTCAAAAGAAAAAAGCCTTCTATTCTAAAAGATTTTAGTAATTTGCTTATGTCTTTTAAAAGTTTATCTTCTTTTTAGTTGTTGATTACAGCAAAATGATTATTTCTGATTTACCTTTCAACAGAAGCAAAATTATACTGCATTATGTATTTAGTAAATTCTTTTGCACTTAACACCACATGTAAAACAAACCATAAGCTACATGACAACTTAAGTTTCCCCAATGAATCTAGGACCTTAATGATTTATATAATTATAAAACATAGTGTCATGTATCTAAAGACTTTTTTTGTTGCACTTATAGTACTTCAAATAACTGAAAATATTTTGTTTAAATTGCATAAATAAATCCAATCTCAGTATGTTATGCCAAATTTCAGTCCAATGTGAAACTGAATTGCCAAATATAAACTCAGAAAATCAAGGCTTAAAAAGGATGTACTGATATCTTAACAATAGGTTTGGTTACCCACTATGTACTAGACGTTATTACAGATACTTGGAGTATATCAACGTACAAAACAAAGATCTAAGCTTACATTCTAAAGAGGTAAGGTGGAAAATTTACAAAATCATAAATAGTATATTATGAGATCATATGTACTATGGGAAAAATAGAAGTTTGGGAATGCAAGGGGTTAGGTGGATTGCAATTTTAAATAGAGTGGTTGGGCCACTGGGAAAATTGCTTGAGCAAACCCTTGAAGGAGATGAGGTTGTTAACCTTAAATATATATGGGGAGCGGAGAGTGCAAAGACCCTTGGGAGAGAGCAGATCATGTGTTCAGTGAACAGCCAAGAGGCCAATCCATCTAGAGTGAAGAGAGCAAGGGGCATAGTAACTGGTAATAAGGTCAGGGAGGTACTAGGTACTGGGCCATGGAGGGCTTTGTATGCCATTGTAAGAACTTTGGCTTTGTTCTGGAGAAAAGTAGGAGCCAACTCAAGATTTTGTGCAGAGTAGAGAGATGATCAAGTTACCTATTAATAGGATCACTTATGCTGCTGTTGAGGGAATAGACTCTAAAGGGACAAGAGTAAAAAGCAAGGAGGCTATTGGCACAGGACAGAGATGGTAGTGGCTTGGACCAGTATGGTAACAGTGGAAGTGGTGAGAATTGGTTAGATTCTGGATATATATATTTCTGTAAAACCAACAGGAGTTTTCCAATGGATTAGAAGTAGAGATATGAGATAAAGAGCGAAATTAAAGATGACTCTTCCTTTTATGGACCAAAGAACTGATCGTAAAGTCATCAACTGCTTCCATGAGTCAGGTTTTGGGAATAAGATCAAGAGTTCAATACATTCGAATTGTCTCAATTTGGCTCTCACTTTTCTTCAACTTTATGAAATTTTAATTTTTGAAAACATCCTCTTGATATTAGGTATCAAAGCACTATGATATACTTTAAAATATTCGTAAAGTGATTAGCAAAATTAGCCACTAAACAATAGCAATATGGATTTCTATTCATATGGCCTAGACAAAGGCAACATCTTTGCATATAGCCTTGGAGGGCAATGGAACCAAAAGCTCTGATGAAAATTGAAAATTACGTCAAGACCAGATATGGGAACATTTGGACTAAGCATTCTAGAAAATAAATTTGGTGAATCCAAAATGTCTTTCTAAAATAATTTACAGAATGCCATATACTTTTTATTGCATATGTCAGTTGACATTTGGAATTTGGAACATTCTAAGCAAACTTCTCAGGGCCTCAGTTTGCTTATCTACAAAGTGAGACTCATAAAACCTGTGCTATGACTTTCTAAGGCTTTTATTTAGAAGCAATATTCATGATTTATGTGTAAATACATTGCAGACTGTAAAGTGCCCTTAAATATTTCTGGAATCAGTTCCTATGAGAAAATTAATTTTCCTTTGATTCTGTCTAGGTTCTCTGGTCATAAGCATATATTGGAACACATATATATCAAGGGTCATGAACATGACGAAGGGCAGAGTCAGAATTTACCAATATTATGAAAAAATTCCTCAGTAGTCCCTTTCTACTACAATTTTAATACCACAACCACTTATTATATGACATATATCATTGATATTCTGTGTTCTGATTCATTAAGTGCTTTCACCAATAAATGTGTTGATCGAGATATTGTAAAGAGCTTAATATTTTTTACTCAGTTACCCTAGTATAAAAAAGGGATTGTCAGAATGCTAAGATAGAGTTCCCTACAGCTATGAAGATTGTTTTCTTCATTTCTAGTTGATTAGGATACTCATGCATTTGTTCATTTGTAATTATATCCTAATCTTCCATGAGAGCATTAACACATCTCTGAAATATCCTTGTTCCCATCTGCTTGCTTCAAGGGCTCCATTAAAAACCCTGTCTGGTCACATGTGGTTATGAGTGAACATCTCTGACTTAGATAAATAGATGAAGAAGGTTCCAGGTGTGACTGTTAAAATGGGTTCTCAGTCACTTTCTGGAATGAAGCAAATTCAAATGAATGAGACCTTACAGGATTATCCAACACGCCTCCCTCTCCCTCTCCTGAAGATATGTCTATGCTGCAGCGTCAATCCATATTCTCAGGTTTTATCGCATTCCTTGCTGTCACTTCCTAAGCTAAATTTGGGGATGGGGAAGAATAACAAACTCAGAGTATAATACTTAGTGGTGGGCTTCTGAAGACTGGAAAGATCACAGGACCTTGAGGAAATAATTGTTTTTACTTTTTTAGTGGAAATTTGAAAACGTAGGCAAAAGTAGAGAGAATGGTATAATAAACATGAACCTCAACAATTATCAATATTTTGCAAATTTTGTTTCATCTATCCCGCCTCCTTTCCCACATATGCACACATTTTTTTTCTTTTAGGAATGTTTTAAAAGCAAATCTCAGAAATCATGCATATATTTCAGTATACAATTCTAACCAATAAAGACTTTTAACTTAACCATCTATCATTGTTACACCAACAAAATTAAAAATAAGTCCTTAAAGTTTGTTTGTAGTCAAAATCTAAGCAAAGCCTTTGGACTTGCATTTGCTTTCGGTGTTTCTGAAGTCTCTTTAATTGTTTAATGACATCGATTTGTTGGGAGGTACCAGGTCATTTGGACTATAGCTTGATCCGCATTCTGCATTTGGTTGATTGCTTCCCCTTATGTCATTTAATTTTCAAGGAGCAAATTTTAATGGCATATATGTTGAGCAAGAGTCCATTCATTAATTAAAGC